AGGACAGACCTGGAAAAGTTTTTAAAACCAGAAATCTGTAAAATATCTTTTTTTTTCCATAAGAAATTCTAAACAATTGCAGCTTTTATTGTTTGATTTTCAACTCTCTGCTAATCTGTGATGTGCAGCTCTGTTGGAAAATGAGCCACATTTCATCAGCGTCACTTTATTCTGCATGTTTAATCTAAAAACAAACTGTGAACTGTTGGTCAAGAAAATTCAGCTGAACTGCAGGCAGTGTTTCCACAGAGCAGAGAGGAGACCAGAGGGTTTGAGGGGAAGTTAAAACCTGCTGGATCAGTACAACAAATGCAGCGTGGCTCGACAACAGCGTACAAAGGAGCAGGATACATTTGTAGATTTGTTTTCGGGAGGCGTTACACAAATAAATTATTATTACTTTTAAAGAACAGGCTTGAAAATTGGAGGCAGAAAGGTCAGACGTGGTGACATGAATGTAGAAACTCTGACTCTGTTTGGAAGCAGAAGTGACAGACAGTAAATAGAACAGCTCAAACTGGTGGAAGGAAAGTCCTGCGTTCTTATTAGGGGGACACGCTGGCTAAATTCAGTTCATTGCAGGGATAAGAAGACGAGCAGGAAGAGCGATAAGACTCGACGTGGAGTAAATGAGGAACAGTGGGAGTCAGCGATAGAGGGAAGGTGGAGCTCAGAGATAGTGATGATACGAGGCAGGGAGGAAGTTCAGGAGATGATTCACAGATTACAGGAAACTTGGAGATGCTTTAAACCAACCTGTGTGGGACGGAGATAGCAGACTGTGGTTTGGATTTAGTTTTCCTTCTCTGTTTCTTTTTCAGGGCGGACGCTCCAGAGAGCAACGAGACGAATCGGCTGATATCAACCGACAGCTCGTCTCCTCTCCTGAGCTATTTATTCATCCAGGAAATCATGGAAAGGTCATCCCAGCTCAGCTCAGTGTTTCCTCACAGTGCTTCAGGTGCAGCAGGTCTGGTGGTTAATTTACTGTATGTGTGATATAAACCACGGTGCATCCTTCTTTGCTTCACTTTCATCCTTTCCTCAAGCTACAGTCCTGCTCCTGAATTTCCTGTTTTTTGGCTTCCTGTCATTTCCTCTCGTTTCTTTCCCGTCTGCTCGTTTCTCAGTTCGAGGAGTCCAGACAACAGCTGTTTGACTAAATGAGAAATCCTCCTTCCAGAGTCGTTGCTGACGTGTGAAACGGCTGCATCATCCGTCCGCTGTTTCGTTTAGAGATCGACCGATGTGGTCACAGATCTTGGAGTCAAAAATGAGACAAGTAATGATGCAGATATTAAAATAAATCCTGAATATTGGACTCGATATGGGGAGGCAGAGATGAGGAAACTCAAGAGTACAGGAATGAGACGAGCTGACAGTGAACTCAGTCTGACCTCAGGATGCAATTTAAAGTTCAGGGTCACAGTTTGTTAAACCTGCATCATGGAAAGACCTTCAGATTAAAGGTCTGATGCTCACAGTCCAGTGTTTCTGCTACGTTTTAT